TTTCTTCACTCATCTCCTTCACTCATTTGATTAAAATTAAGATCTCAACAAGGCCAAGGGTTTTTCGTGGGTTGTTCACTAGAACAGTGCCTGTGAAAAGCTATGAATCTTTGAACTCATTCACTCTTTCATTCCACTTATGTTTACTGGATCCCTAACATGTTACAGGTTCTCAAGGTCCAATCAGAAAATTTCACTGTAAATAAAGTCACATCATGAGAAATCTTTAAGTTAGAAAAACCAGATCATATTTTTCTCACTCTAATTCAATCAAAATTTAAAAATAAGAGGACAGTTCTCTGCCCACCCAAAAAGAATGGCAGAAGAAAATGTAGGCCAGAATGGTATATATTTCCAACTTTTTGGCACATGTCCCAAAATGATGTAACACACACACATGCATCAGTGGGGAGTGGATGAACTACCAAAAGATAGGACCCATGATCCCTACAAGAATGAATGGAAGAGATCTATGATTTTTTGACTGTGGTAGATTTGACATAAATCTATACCTGTGATAAAACTGCAACCCCCCCACACACCCCAATGCATGTAAAACTGGAGCAATCTGCATAAAGTTGGCAGGTTGTACCATTATCAATTTCCATAATTACTATTGTAAGATGTTACCAATGTTGTAAGGGATGAAGATCATAAAAAAACATCTCTTATTTTGCAATTTTATGTCAAACTATAATTACTTCAAAGTAAATCAATAAAATTAAATAGCAGTTTGCTATGAAAGCGATGCAAAATATTAGACCAAAACAGATACTCAATAATGGGGTAAACCTATACGACAGTATATTGCATGATTTAAAAAAAACACATTTCTATGATTGTGACATGAAAGGTGTTTGCATTCAGAAAGCAAAAGAAGTAGGACTTATAAAACATGCAAATACAATCTAATCTTCTTTTTTTTAAAGTATGTGGGGAACAACATTTATACAAGTATATGCCAAATGCCATTGGTGTCTACTTCTATGTTAGCATCATGGGTGATTTTTTATTATTTCAGGGTGATTTTTTATTATTTCAGTTTTGCTTCTCCATTTTTTCTACCCTTATTTCTCAAACGAACAATATTATCTAACAAGTATGTAAAAGGCCATCTATCCTATGTGTGTGATTCTGATAAATTCTGCATAATTCTGAAAAAGAATCAGGACAAATGGAAAGATTACATGGAAAGACATTTCAGTTCTGTGTAACAACGCATTGAGCTCTCTCCATGAGCCACTGAACATTAACCACCACCTGTGAGTCCACTGCTTCTAATGGGAATGGTATCTACCAGGGCCTGGCAAATTCCTTATCAGTAATTATGTGGAAGGGAGTATGGCTTATGCAGGCTGATAAGTTGGATCTGATTCTAAAACTGCCTTCCAATTCTAAAACTCTATGCCTTTTGATTTTGCAATGAATTTAACAGACAACACCTCTCATTTTAAAAGCCCTTTTTATGTTTCAAAGCACTTTCACATATGCTGTTTTATATTAGCCTTAGTCCAGTACTTTTTAAAAATCCTGTCCCTATCACACATATGTAGAATAGGAAGAACAGATATTATCACCTCCATTTTACTGAAGGAAAAACTGAGGCAAGAGCAGAGTAATCTCTTTTCATACTTTGAGGCAGGTGAGATGAAAAATGAGTTATGAGAGCATACATTTCTCTTGCCTTATGGCTCCACCCCTTTCCTTTAAACACTGTGTAGCTTCTCCTTTTCTACTGGGGTTTGCAAACTGGATAGAACTGGTAACAATATTGCATGATGAATGTCAGTTAAATGAAAAACTAAGTTTTGATAGTAAGTATCAATGATGATAATACACATCTGGTTGATTCCACTAACTTACATCAACTCAGTCAAGGTCGAATAACCAATATGTCAATTTGACTCAAAAATCATGATCAATAAAACCAATTAGTTGACACGAACACCCAAGAGGCTGCTGAGCCTAGGGATCTCAGTCAATATATTTGCCTTATACCTGTGTCTTTCATAGTTGCAGGTAAGGAGTTCGAAAGTTGGGCTGCGGGGCCAATTGAATAATGAATGGGATCCATACGGGACTTAATGAAGCAGGGCTTTGTTCCTTTTACCAAAGGAAAATTAAAAGAGGAATTTTGTATTTATTTTACAGTGGCAGCAGATTAAGCACTTCAGTAATAATGTGGCAATTCATCAAAAGAGGTCTTAGTTAGGTGCTATCTGAAATCATGAAATTAAGTGGGAAAACATACACATGGAAAGGTTTATATGTTCTAAAAAAATAATCCAAACGTTAGATAAATGATAGTCTTCATAGAGCATAGTAAACAAATGACATATTTTCATTGGCTGATTGAGCCCTTTATACACATATATCATTTCCTGTGTGCCAAACCCTCTACCTAATACCTCTCCTCATAACCACGCCCATGCAAATCATTACAGAGGAAACCCGAGGGTCACTGAGGTTGAGGGCACTTCCTCCAAGTCATGTAGACACAAGGGGAAGTGATAGGATCACAACCCAGGTCTGATGACTCCCAAACAAGCACATTACCCTTATTACTTATTCTCCTAAAACCTTGAGATTATGTATATGCTCTTTTTAAAGCAGGAAGTCACTAAGGTGGCATGATACACTACTTCAGGAAATACAGAGTTAACCTGGGAACAACTGGAGAATGATGGGAAACAGAACACAATAACTGCTGATAGAATCTATTATCCATATTGTCAGTACATTAGTATGGGAACTGACTATTGATAATAAATTATTGAAAAAGGTATGATAATGTCACAGAAGCTTTAAATACTTTTCTGTTCAATGACATAAAATTCAGTCTACAGAATTTTAACTATTCACTCATTTGACAAACAGTTGAGTGCCTACCATATTCCCAGCTCTGCTAAAAGCAGAGAAATTTCTCCAGTGATTGAGACAGACAAAAGTCCCAGACTTGATGAAGTTCACAAAAGCTCCACAAGAAAATGAGGTAGTAGAAAGAAAGGGTGAGGCAGAAGACTTTGTTGTATGTATATATGTATGTATGTATATATGTGTGTGTGTATATGTGTGTGTGTGTGTGTGTTTACTTATTTATTTATTAGTTTTAGGTGGACACAATATGTGGTGTGAAGGATAAAACCCAGTTCCTCACGTGTGCTAAGCAAGCATTCCACCACTTGAGCCACAACTCCAGCCCAAGACTTTGGTTTTAATCCTGGCCAGATGGCCTTAAGCAAATTATTTGAATCTCTCTGAGTCTCAGCTCCCTTACCTCTAAACTGAGTATAATAGTATCTGTTTTTATTATATCATTTTTATTAGGAAAAATACTAGTTTATATGTGAAAAAAAAATCCTACTTAGTCTTTGGTCTTGGAGAAACTGAGGTAGTTGATGAGGCATAAAAGTTTTGTCCTCATTATTAAATCCTTCAAAATATTTTATTCCATATTTTCCATGATCTAAGCTTTCTGGGTTTAATGTTAACCATGTGTAAGACTTGCTGGGTCACCATAAGGTCACTCTTCTATACCTAGCCACCAATTTCAAAGTCTGTGTTATAGGCTTACGATGCCACAATTATGTATGTTTCCCCTTGTTGTGGAAGGAAGCAGGATTTAAATTATATCTTAGTGATTATTTCATTTGCACACTTCTAGAGATGCTGTTTCCTAACTAGTTTTTGAGAAACAAATCCATTACAATTGATTATTATAAAAATCTTCCAGTAAGATTTTCTTTCTTTCATATATTCTTGCATGCTACTGTTTCACTGAGAGTGTAGAATAAGCACTAGAGCAGATTATGCTTAGTGAAGCTAGCCAATCCCTAAAAAACAAATACCAAATGTCTTCTTTGATATAATGAGAGCAACTAAGAACAGAGCAGGGAGGAAGAGCAGGAAGAAAAGATTAACATTAAACAGATACATGAGGTGGGATGGAAAGGGAGAGAAAAGGGAAATTGCATGGTAATGGAGGAAGACCCTCATTGTTATACAAAATTACATATAAGAGGTTGTGAGGGGAATGGGAAAATAAACAAGGAGAGATATGAATTACAGTGGACGGGGTAGAGAGAGGAGATGGGAGGGGAGGGAGGGGGGATGGTAGAGGATAGGAAAGGTAGCAGAATACAACAGTTACTAATAGGGCATTATGTAAAAATGTGGATGTGTAACCGATGTGATTCTGCAATCTGTATTTGGGGTAAAATTGGGAGTTCATAACCAACTTGAATCTAATGTATGAAATATGATATGTCAAGAGCTTTATAATGTTTTGAACAACCAATAAAAAAAATTAAAAAAAAAAAAAAGAGCTAGGTGTATGTGGGTGTGTCATAAGAAGGACCATTTCTCAGCATTCAGGCTCCACTTTGTTGATTAAATCAGAAAAATCAATCAGTTCTAACCCTAAATCTCTTCTTTCCTTACTTTCTCCCTTCACCTTGGTGCGTGGGTGGGGGATTCCTAAACTATTTTTATCAGCTCAGCAAATCAGAGTTCTGCTTTCTAAACAAAGAGGTGCCAACCTTGAGACTCTGAAAGCAAACACAAGCCAGGCATTGTGCACAAGTGAAAAGAATATAATTAGCAAAGTTATAGTCACAATTAGGAAATACCTCCTCAGAAAAGTTTCCACTTAACTCTGAGCAGCGCTCAAATTACCATTGTGCTTGAGGCCTCTGTCTCTTGGCTGACTCAGACCTCTGTGACAGATCTATGAATACCAGCACCTTCCACAAAACACAGGCACAAATTCTAATGCTGGATGTGTGTGTGTGTGTGTGTTTTTTAATAACAGATGTGGATAATGTGCAAATTGAGACACCAAAATTAAAACTTAAAAAATAAGAAACATAGTCTCACAAATGTCAGGTATTAGCCAAATTATTCTTTCACCATGCTCTTTCTTCACCTTCTCCAGCCCTTTCCCCTTTGCCACCCTCAGAGAGAGGTTAGGAAAGATGAAGAAAGCAAAAATGTATACTCACTTCATCTCCAGGATCTCCTCCAGCTGTTTCCTCCTCTCTATCCGCAGGTTGGCCAAGTGTGCTTCTTTCTCAGCCAGGGACTGCTGTGTAGAGGCAAGGCGAGCTTTGGTGGCATCCAGTTCTTGCCTGGTTTTCTCCAAGGCATTCATCAGTTCCTCTATCTGAAAGGCACATGGAGCTGTGAATGTGATTGCTCCTTCATTCAAGTATAAGGCATTCCTGACTACCCTGTGTTCCAATGGTAAATATAAAGAAATTGTGGGTGCTCTTGAAGTAGAGACACTGTTTCCAGGAGCTCTCTCTTTATCACTGATTAAAAATAAATGTTTCTAACACTGTAAATGTCCATTTTGGGATGGGATAGAGTTCAGTAGCAGAGGACTTGCCCAGTACACACAAGGCCCTGCATTCCAAGCCCAGGACAGCAAAAACAAAAATAAAAGTCCATATTTCTCCAAGGCTCACCTTTGAGTCCACTGTTTAATATCTATTCTAGAAGTAGGGGTGAGTGATTTGACCCAATTTCAACCCACGTTTGGCAAAATTCTCAGCTACTTCCTTGCAGTTAGAGGGAGGCAACACTCAACACAGTTCTCCTGGCACAATCTACTCCTGTGTGTAGACTCCAGGGTACTTTGACAGGAAGTTAATCGATGTGTTTCAGATTCACTTATGTTTTAACCTATCAAAGCCTTGTTTGGTCACAGCTATTTGATGTCCATGGGCCTCAGGAGCCCCTCTCACCTCACCTCCCAGACTTATATTCAGGAAGCAAGATTTGGCCAAAGGTAAACAGAATTCCAGCCACAAAGGGTTCAAGTTTGGTTTGCCCCTGAAGTTTGAGAGGGTTCTAAACTTGAAATAAATGACATGTAACTTTTATAGGGTGCTAATACACCATAGAAATAAGCCAGACTATCAAATATCCAGGGTTTTTCAGCCAGGTCCCAAAAATTGGACTAGGGAGCCCCGTGGCAAGGCCTTACTCTCCCCAAACCATTAGGGACTTTTAAAAGCCAACATACAACAAAAAGGGTTGGTGTTTATGGTTCTGTTCCAGAGACTTCCGTGGAGAAAGCTGGTGAAATGCCATGCCTTGCACAGGCTGCTTCTACTCTACAGATTCAAAATCATGGTTCCAGGAAGTTTCTAGATTCCAGAGCTGATGTTTGAGTTTCTAAGTCACCCCTCCCCGCTGCTGCACTTGGCAGAATGGGCTCATCCATCACTAAAGTCAACAGAACACCCTTCAAAATGTGTCAATGACATGTTAAGTTTCAATTCATAAAGACTTTTTACACAATTTCTGCAGTTTTACATGGAATTTATTCACAATAAGCATTATAGTTCACGTCCAAGGTAAATCACAAGCTTTTAAGATTCAGAAAACTCTCCATTTTGCCCTGATAGAAAGAGGAAACTTAATGACCATGCAATTTAAATCAAAGCCAAAACTAAAAACAGCTTAAAATAAAGCAAGACATATAAAGAATAATCTATGAAAGTCACAGGACCACATCTATTTAACTGTAGAATAAATAGCATTATTCTTTAACTTTATAAATACATACAATTTTAAAAAACAATTGTTTTTCTTAGGTTCTCATATAAGTCATATAATATTTTAATATGACCAGGCACGGTGGGGCACGTGTGTAATCAAAGTGATTAGAGAGGCTGAATCAGAAGAATCCAAAGTTTTTACTAAGCATTTAATGAGATCTCATCTCAAATTGAAAAGATTAAAAAAGACTAGAGAAGCAGTTCAGTGATAAAGCATGCCTGGGTTCAGTCCTCAGTACCAAAAACAACAACAACAACAACAAAACCCATATATTACAAATATATCTAGAAACTCTTCTGCAAAACAATACTTAAGGCTGAAATAAGAGTTTTATTACTTTTTGTCCCTATTTTTTATGTACTCAATAGTGTAAAAAAATACCTATCAGAATAATGGCCATTCCACAGACTAATTCATATAGTCTGCCTGACCCTCCACAGGAGATGGTCTTTGCCTCTTGACCCTGTCACAAATTATTATTTATTTCAAACATGATACTGATTCCAGAATAGACAGGAAAGGTCTCAAGAATTCACATCTGCTGAATTCTCTCTCATTCCTTGAAACTGAACTATCTGCAATCTATAGACTCTAATCTACTCACCTGGACTTCCAAGTTACTAATTCACTTGCCATCAGACTTCTTGGGCAAACACCAGGAGTTCTATGGTAATCCATTTTTAAATAATTACATTTTAGAGTAACACCTTATAGTTGTTTCAGCTATAACCACACAAAGAAACCTGGACACTTAGGATATGTAATCCAGTGTTTTAACTGATGGAAATGCCATTGGCTCCCAACATCAATAAGGCTTAGTCCCATGTAAGAATGTTGTTCCCAACACCTTGGAAGTAGAGTCATTAAAAGAGTTGCAGGCCAAGGCTTCCAACTCATTCCAATTGATATGGAAGTATTGCACATTAAGGACCATAAGGTACACTGTAACTTTTTGTAAGCAACCATTCAAATCTCAGAATCTCAGTTTCCTAGACAATGCCCATGGTTCTTTCTATGTTTAATGTTTTATTAGAGTTCTGCAAAATGTTTCCTTTATTGCCAAAGCAGAAGCATTTAAAGTAAGAAATGTTTTCTTGCTGTGGTGATCATTAGGATAGCCTACAGTATTTCAGTTGTCCTCCTTATGGACACATGGTAAAACTACACCTTCCCTTTCCCTGTGAGTATGGCTTCAGCCAATAAAATACCATCATTTTCAGGAAGAAGCATGTAGTGCTAGCATTCAATTCTAACCTTCCTTCCTCTGCGCCAAGGCAAACATAGAAGCATGTCTCAGATGACACTTCCTTTAGCCTGAATCCATAGTGGCCATAATGAAGCCCTAGGCCAACCCACATCACATAAGCAAGATATACACCTTTGTCGTGCTACACCATTACTGTAAACCGTCAAGGCTGGTGTGGGAAGTTGGAATTGGGTGCTCTGTACTCTCCACAACAGCCTTCTCTCTTCAAGAGGAAATCACTTGTTACTCTTGCTATCCCATGGAAAAGAGACTTTTGCAGGCCACTGGTAATTTCCTTTTTGCCAAATGTCTTTTCTTAATGTGCAGCTTGCACATAGCTACATTCCTCCAAATGTATCTGTCCCTTCATTAAAATAACATCTTAACCAACAATACACATGTAGTTTGTGTCTCAAAACCACCAGATTAGAATTATGGTGTCACTTACTAAACTATGTGACTAAGACAAGTTTCTTCATCTCTCTCAGTTTCAGTTTCCTCATCAGTAATATGGGCACCATGTGGCATGCCTATTAGTTGTCTGTGGGCACTGAAGTGCCCACATGGCTCATAATCATTTCCTCTTCTCACTGATATCAAGAAAATAAATTTTTCTGATAATACAAATAAGGTACACTTATTACACAGAATAAGAAAGCTGCTGATATGAAAACTTCAAAATTTTTTAAGCCAAATAACATTCTTTTCAGTTAAGATCTACCTACATCTCACCACCTAGAAATAAACACTATAAACAATTTTTTCCAGCTTCTCCATCCCTCTCTATGTATGTACATATTTAATTGAGATGCTATATATGAATATATCCATATAAAATAAAATATTATGAACAACTAATGTATTGTGAGCATTCTCCATTTGTCATTAAAGATTCTTTTGGAAATCCCATTTTAATCTGTCAGTGTTCTACCCAATCCCCATTTTCCTAAACCTGATGCTGTGGTCTGAATGCTGTATCCCCCCAAATTCATATGTGCAAATTCTAGCCCCCAAGGTGATGGCATAAGGAGGTGAAGCTCTTGTGAGGAGTTAAGTCATGAGGACAGAGCCCTCAGGAATGGGATTAGTGCCCTTACAAAGGACATCCAAGGAAGTTTGTTTCTTCTCTCACTATGTGAGAGCACAGAAGTCAGTATCCACAACCTGGAAGAGGACTTGACCATGCAGGAACCTTGATGTAGGACTTCCCAGCCTCCATAACAGTGAGGAAGAAATTTCTGTTATTTATAAATCATTTTGTTTATAGTATTTTGCTACAGGAATCAAAATGGACTAAGATGCATAGGAACCTATTTTTCCTATTTGCTTTGCAAACACTTCAACTCCTTGCAGTCCATCACTGGGTCCTTCCCCAGGTGACACTGTCCTAGAGACACTTTATCATCTATACAGATACTCAGGAGATGAAGTCTATCTTCACAGTTCTCACCTTCATGCAAATACCTGTTCAAACTTTCACTTTCTCCTTTCACTCATTCAAACTCTTTCACATGTACCTGTCAATCCCTGGCTCATCTTGACTGGTAAACCATCCAACCTCTTATCAAGTGCTCTGTAGCTGCTTCCATCTTCCTACTGCCTCTGGATCACTTCAATCTGCTTATCTTAATATAACATTAAATTGGAGATGACCAAAGGCTAACTTCTGATCCATGCACATCTGCCTAAAAAAAAAAAAAAATCCCTATAGCCTTGCCCTCTCAATGTCACTCCCTAACATATGCACCATTTTGGTCTCATGCCCTGAGTTTTTCCCCAATCACTCATGTTTGAGTTAAATTTATCTCTTCCTTTTCCTTCCTATTTTCCATCTGTTACCACATCCAATACCTCTGTTTTGGAAATGCTGATTGGATCCATCACTCCCTTTGATCATTAGTATAATATTCCCCATATATGATAGGATTTAAAGTACACACACACACACACACACACAGTCTTAGCCTCTGTCCCTACCTCTACCCTAAGTGGTCTGCTCAGCTTCTCCCATGTAAGAGTAGCCACATCTGGTTCTGGATTTTATGAAATAGAATTAGCAAATGGGTAGCAGAGTGTACATATAGGAATAGGCTCTGAAGAGCAGACAAAAAAGATTTCTATAACAGAAAATAGAAGGAAGTAAGGGAAGAAAGAGAAAGAAAATCATTGAGGCTGGGGAATATGGTGAAGTTATTTTTTTGCCTTAGTACAAAATAAGAGAATTGGGGAAGAGAGAAGGAGGAAAAAGCAAAGTTGGTAAGGGTACTCGTGGGGCTCTTACAAGGCTTTCTAAATTTGTAAATTGAAGGTTAGACTTCTTCCCCCCCCCCAGCATTTTTGGTTGTGTCTTT